GCATCCAGGACCTAGAAGTAGACACCCCATCACCTATGCCATAGTTGAGCCAGAGCCTTTACAATCAGGTTGTCTGTATTATAACTGAATGGGGATGGAAGAAATGGAATTTTACAATTGTTGAAGGTTCCATAGAGATAAAAAAGATATATACTAATCCTAAAGTCCTATTACCACCAGATGAAGAACTGAGATTATCAATCCAGCAGTTTACTAAACTAGAAGGGGAGAAGTTAAGGAATGGCCAATGCAAGGAGGTAGGTGTAGTATAGCTGTGTCAGAATCATAGCAGGGCATTAATAAGGTATGGTTTGTTCTCCTTTGCTGGGCTAAATTCATGTTTTTAAAAAAATTGTAGAACAAACCAATTAAGGGTAGGAGTTTACAAGGAAAAATCTTGGTCCCACTATGGCAAAGAATTTCAGTCTGGTATGTAAGATACAGTATCTGAGCCATGATATCTAAAACACAGCAGCTGACAGGTAGTGGTACAGAACCACCATGTATATCAAGGATTTTTAAACCAGAGCAGAGGAATTGTCCAAAATGCAGCTGGGGGTTGATGACAAAGACTCTAGGATACAACAGTAATCAGAGTTGTGGTCTATCACTACTGAGGACATCACTCTTCAGGAAGCAAGACCCCAAACTACAGTGAATTTTCAGGGGCATGCTTCAGATATCAAAGGGATTTCTGCAGTGGACACATTTTCAAAATGAATATCCAAACACAGGAACGAGAAAAGAATGTTCTTGTAAGACTGAGATCAAAGGTGATTTCTAAACCATAGTAACAGCTCAGAATTCCAGCTTGCAGAACAAGTGTTCAAGGTCAAAGCTGGGTCTCTCAGCTCCAAGCTAGAATTCTGTAAATACCTCTAGCTCTAGGTCAGATTTTGTCCTAGAGACAGGGAGACAGTCAACTGGTAAGAGATCAAAATCAGAGACAAGAAACCAAACTGGGCCTGTCAAAGGATCCTCTTCTTTAAGTTGGAACCGACTTTTTAAGATAACTATCCAATGAGTTGACCTAAACATTAACCAATTTTATCTGAATATCTTTGTTTCATACCACTAAGGCTTTGATCTTGACAGTAGTCCCAACTGTATAAATTTCAAAAGTGGTCACCTATTTAAGGATAATTTTCTGATGAAAACCTTGCAAATTTATGATACTACAGATTTAGCTTGTAACAAGCCTGATGATAACATTTATTTCATCATCTTTAGCTCTACTGTCTTAAGGGCCATAGAGAAGATGGTAAAAATTTCCCCAAATAAGAACACAGCATATGTTAACTGACCTCAGAAGCTTGTGTCTCTCTACTCCCTTATTATATTTCAAAACAAGAATAGTAATAATTATCTGTGATATTATTATGCCAAGCTCTCTCAAGAATGGAGTTTTTAGCAAAAAGAGACCTGGTCATATTTTGCCTTCTTGGGTTCTAACAGTGTACCTGACCAAAATAGTTATGCAAGAACTTTTGTCAAACACAGCACCTGGGTGGTTCAGTCAGTTGAGGGGCCAACTCCTGATTTTCAGCTCTGATCATGATCTCTGGGTCTTTTAATTGAGCCCCGTGGTGGGCTTTATGTTCAGTGAAGAGTCTGCTTGAGATTGTCTCCCTCCCTCTCCCTCTGGCCCTCCTCACCACACTTGCACTCTTTCTTTCTCTTTTTCTTAAATAAATAAATAAATAAATAAATAAATAAATAAATAAATAAATCTTGAGGATTTTCTCTCTCCCTGTCCCTCTGCCCCTTTCCCCATGCACACAGACTCTCTCTCTCAAATAGATAAATACTCAAAAAAAAAAAAAGGAATCTCTCTCTCTCCCTCTGCCCCTGCCCCTCCCTGTGAGTGTGCTCTCTCTCTAGAAAGCAAGCAATTAAGAAAGAACTTTTGTCAAACGAACAAATGACTGATAATTAAATATTCATTATTCTTTCATTTTTCTAAAGAACTATAGTATATTATTGAAAGAAAAAACAGACTATGAATTTATGTTTTCTTTAGGTATTTTGTTGCCTTTGCATACTTTCCTTTACTCATTGTATCCTCTCTTATCACCAAGGACTCCAGCAGAAATGCCATTGTTTGGAGAATAGCCAAGTGACAACTGTTATTCCTTCTCAAAGGAAGAGACTTCTTTAAATCTGCAGGAATTCTGCTCTGTACCTTTGATGTGAAAATTTTATCATCTATTTCTGGGAAAGCTTGCTATGTTATATAAGAATATAAAGAAAGAAATGAAGAGCGTCTACCAGCCTTGACTTCTGCAATCTACAGATTTCAGCTTCAAAGCAAAAACAGCAGATTAATTTCTCAAGTCTTGAATTTTACTTGGAAGGAAAACAACATTCAGATCTGATTTGCATCTTATGGCTCCGTTTTATAAATGGCAAAGCTGTAAGCTTGTGCGCAGAGCTCCGTCTGGGTCTGGCATCTGTGCTCAGGCAGTGAACCCTAAAAGTGGTGATGAGCTTTCTACCTATATCTGCTTTTTGAAAGATGTCACTGTGAAATGTGTTACTGCCCGCTAGCGTGTGAACAACACCCCAGCCAGAACCCTTTAATTCTTTGTTGTTGGAGACTATTCCCCCTCTGGTAATCACAGTCTTTGTAATGCCAGTGTCTCTTCGGCAAAGGTCATAGCTCAGAATGATCCACCTCTTCCCTAATAACTCCTTATTTGTTCCTTTCCTTAGCACCACGTAGCTATGCTATTCTTCACCTTACTGAACTTCATTTTTGCATTCCCTTATCCTTCCCTGAGCATAATTGCGAGCAAAGTGGATATAAGGTAACATTGACAGGTGAGAAATCATGCTATCATCTCCCTCAAGAATTATACCATTTTGCAATCTGAAAGGTTAAGATTTGGGAAACCAATCATTCCAAGTGACATCTTATGTAAAAGACACATCTAATTTTATCGTGTTGTTAAATCTTTATGCAGATGATTAAGTTTGTGAATTTTTCCACTGCAGAACAGACACATTATAACCAGCCCCTGCCATCCAAGTCTCTTCAAATTATATATATATATATATATATATATATATATATATATATATATATTTCATATAGTATGTGCATTTCACACACACACACACACACACACACACACACACACACATAGAGTCATTACTTAGGGGCTTTATCCTTTCTTGGTAGACATTTAACCCTGCAAGTCATATCATTTCTGCTTTAGGATGGGCAAGCTGGGGTTGTCTGCCCCTAAAACAAGTCATAGACATCTTACTTACTTCTTTTCATCATTCTAAAAAATCCAAGGAAAGTAAATTGATTTAAGAGAAAGAGAGGAAAATGTCCTTGTTTAAAAAAAAAGGATATTTTTATGGTTTTAGGTTGACAATTCTAACCTAATTCATCCTTCAAAAAACTCATTGGGATTGGTAGGTGAATCACAGGTATAATTACACACCAATTTCCAAATTTAGAAAATGTGCCACATGGGAAAACATATGGGGACTTCACAGAAATTGTTAGGGCAGCAGGTGGTTACAGAGTTGGGGTGAAAATTGTTTTTTTATTCTCAAGGTTAGGTCTTTTGGCTAAAAAACTATTCTCAAATGCTACTCAGATGACTGCCTACATTAGAATAACCTGAAAGCCTTTAAGAATCAGATTTCTATAGCTAATCCCAAGAGATTTTCATTCAGAACATCATTTGTGGGGCCAGGAAGTCTGTATTTTAGAAACTTTCCAGATGACCCTATCATACATCTAGATTTGGGAACCAGTAGGGAGAAGTTTGTTTGTTATGTTCATGAAACCTTGCAACAGAAGACTCTACCTTATAAATGTCAACTACAGATTAGGCATCTTGAGACTTTAGCAAACAGTAGATGAAATAGGTTGGTCCCAGGGTCTTAATGAATAGTAGAAGCACCAAGGAATTGCTTTAGCTGCTAATTGTCTCCACTTGGTCAAAGAAACATACCATCTAAGCAAAAATGTATTCTTCTTGTGCAAAAGAACTACACAGAACCAGTTTTCTGAGCAGTGGCCCCTCCAACCCAGTCATTTATGAGGAGTCCCATGGCTCAGCAACTCATGTACTGAAATTCTGAAGCTGCCACAAACATCCATTCTATTCTTTTACTTCAGACTAAACAAATTTAGAGGAATTGCAATGATTGAGAAACCTATTGGAAAGGTAGTGAAGGCCTCACACAGAATATAATTATTTAATGTATGCTTGAAAATATTGATTAGTCACCAACTGTTAAGCATATTGTGTCCCTTAGATAAAGTTTGTTAAGTGAATTTCTTAAATCTTCTGTAACCTTAATAATTGTTAAATGTATTATTTCTAAGCCATATGTCTAAAATCGCCCACTATTGTGGAGATTTGTTCATTTTCCTTTGCAATAATCTCAAATTTTGCTTTTTATATCTTGTGGATAGTTGTTCAGTGTACATATATCTAAGAATATTTTGCTTCCTTGGCAACTTGCTTCATTTATGATTATGTAACAAGCCTCTCTTTGACAATGTTTCTTCCTTAAAGTCGGTCTTGATGATATTAGTATTTCTTAGTAATTGTCTGGTATGCATTTCTTTCTCTGCTTTCAATTTTTCTTTCTCATATTTTAAATATGTCTTTCATAAGTAGTTTGTGGATGAATTTTTTAAGGCCTAATTTTTACAATCAGTTTAACTAGTAACTTGAATTCACTCATGAATATTATCATTACTGATATAATTGTTTTATTTTGTGCCTTTGGTTTTCTTTACTTTGTTTCTCTTTTCCTGCCTTTGACTATATTGATCAGATTTTCTCTGGTTATTCTTTTTTCCCTCCACCAGCTTGCCATTACACATCCCATTCCTATTCTTTTAGTAGTTCCATACATACTTCGTTTCAAAAAGTTTAAAAAGTACTCTCTTTATTATGTCCTAAGATCAGCAAAGATTTTTTTTAAGAGAGAGAGAGAGAGAGAGAGAGAGAGAGAGAGAGAGAGTCAAAGTTCTCTCTGGAAAAATAAACTGAGCAAACTTAAATTTTCTGAAAACTTGAAGTCACAGTATACTGATCTAGACAATAAATAGTACTTCAGAATTGAGTCATTTCTGTGCCTTCATTTTATGGGGATGAAGAAGAGACTGGAAGAGATCTCAGGGACCTCCTAGTGAAGGAGGAAGTCATTAAGAGCTCAAAGTTTCAGCAAGTCTACTTAGGGGGCTCTCACACCTCTCTGGATGTGTTGGATCTTCCTCTTCCTCCCATATGCCAGGAACCCTCCACAGACTCTCCACAGACTTCCTGCATATTCCTTGGACCCCTGTGAGATGGGGGCAGATGAAAGTCCCAGTGTGGACAGACCTGGTAGCCCACTTGTGATTTCTGTGAGGCATGGTCATACTCTTTGCTTGGGAAGTTTGACCATTCTTCACGAAGTCTCCAGGAAACTCCTCCTCCCTCCTGAGGAGCTAGACTTGCTGTTCTCTTTTGGAATTCCTGTTAATTCCAAGTCCTCTGTTTCCTGGTTGGACTCCAACTCATTAGCTTCTTGTTCAGTTTTCTGTTCTGGCTGCGCCTGCCCTACAGATGGATCCATCAGTCTGTCCAGCCCCAAGGATGGGAGTGTATTGATATCCAGAGGATTCTGTACAGAGCCATGGTGGTCCCTGGTCAGGTGTTCTGTTCTCCAAGGATCCTAACCATATTCTGGATTCTGGCAACTGGTTATCCCTGTGAGGACAAGACCACAATGAAAGAAGAAGTCAGAGTTAGGGATGTGGGACCGGGTTCAGGGTAATTATACAGACTTAATGGTTTGTTAGGATGCCTTCAGTTGCAGGAACCAGAATACCTCACTAAAACCGGCATAAGCAAGGAGGTTATTTATTGATTTATGGGCTTAAAAAGTCTCAAATGGGGCTATTTTTAAGTGATGCGCAATCTAGTGGTTTAAAAGATGTAACAAGTCCTCACGGTTTTTTTCCTCTATTCTAGCTCCAATTCTCTTGTATTATTTTATTTATACAGGACCTCACCTTATGGTCCTGAGAATGCTGCCAATAGCTCCCTGAGCTATTTCTTTATTATTTGTGTCTGCAGTGGAAAAAGATCATCCTTGACTCAGCATTTCAGGGAAAAGTTCTGGGACACTTGAGGTCACTGGCCCACTACTGGTTCAGTCACTCTAATCTAAGAAAGAATGCTCTTATTGGTTTAGTGTATCAGATGATACTCCACTGGACCAGAAGTACAGTTCGTTTCCTTGGAGCTACATGGATCCAAATTTCAAGAATCAAGAGATGTTGGACAAAGAAGAAGTTGTGCTGGCAGGGGCAGGAAAATGTCCATTGTGCTCAGATATACATGTCTTAGCAGCTATGGGATCCAACAATTCCTCTCCTTTTTATTTCTGATTTTTTGACCCCTTTGTGGTTTCTGTAAAAATGCTATCAATATGACTTCAGTCTTTTCAGTCAATGTTTCTTCTACCTGTCTGTTCCCAAACCCACTTCTTCAGGAAAAAGTTGCATCAGAAATAATATGATATTCCATTAGATTTATAGACTTTCTCATTGTCTAGGAGGCACTATTTTGATCAAAAGGTTTTAATGGGCAAATTTACCTGCATATAAGTCACTGTCTGTGGGGCATCTGAGTGGCTCAGTTGATGGTTTAAGTATCTGCCTTCAGCTCAGGTCATGATCCAGGGGTCCTGGGATTAAACCCCACATCAGGCTCCCTGCCCAGTGAGAATCTGCTTCTCCCTCTGTCCCTCCCCCTGCTTGTGTTCTCTCTTCCTCTTTCTCTCTCAAATAAATAAATGTCTTAAGAAAAATAAGTCACTATCCAGGAATTAAGGACTAAGGTGTCATCTCTGTTTTGTTTGGGATATTTCTCTGTTTGTTATTATTACCTTGAGTATGCTTAACCACTAAAACAAAATAATAAGTGTCAAATCAGCTAAAAGTTTGCACTTCTCAGTTAGAGGTTTATAATATCCTGGGGTATCCTCTATACTGGATACATGATGTCCAGGAACATTCACTCTATACTTGTACTATATTTATGGAAAGTGGTATATTTCTAACAGAGAGAGGGGGAAGGAGAAACTTTTGACTCACTCCCACATAGGTCTTGACTCTCAGAAGAAAGAGCCACATACTTATCTCATACAAAACTGGTCAATCTTGCTAGAGTCATTTCAGATAAAATCAGAGTAAGTTTAGCTACCATGCAAGCCATATTGCTGCCAGTAGAACAAAATGCTGACTGATCCCTGTTTTATTTTCCCTACATGCCCACAGTAAACTAAACTCTATATTGCATAAAGCTGCCTCATGTTAAAAAGTAGCCACCCATTGCGTGTCACAGTACCAATCCCGGAGGCACAGATGTATAGGGTGGGTGCGGGCCAAGGAGAAAACTAAAATGCTGTAGTCTGGACAATGGATACTCAAAAGTCTAAGACACTTTTCTTCTACCCACACATTTTTCAATGTGTGTTAAAATCCATTTGAGAAGGAAGCATGACAATGAGTCTGAAGAGAGATGGATGGGTGTAAAGCTGGCAAACTTTCATTGGCTTGAGTTTACCAATGCCTTGGATGCTCACAATTTCCAAACACACTTGTATCTCAGAGGAGGCTACCTGAGGAAGAGCCCAGCTCCCTAAGTACTTGTGACACAATCTATGTCCTCCACGCAGCTCTGGCTCAGACTTTGTCACCTTATAAATCCTGTGTCCATGTCAGTACAAGAGTTCCAGCTTCCTGCTGGAGAAAGCCCTGGTGACCCCAGGACTCACCAGCTCTCTGTCCTTGCCATGGCTGTGAAGGTTGCTGGGTCTGCAACTTGGCCCGGGCCCAAAAGTGTTAGTTCTTTGGACTGTCTTGAGTGAGAGCCTCAGCTGGAGAGGAAATGTTGCGCAACGTCTTTTGTCACAGATAAGATGTAATGAGTCCAGAGGATGTGTGATTAAAGGAAGCTCACAGGAAGTAGGGGTGGAAATTTTTGAGAACCATTTACAAGGCTTTTTACCTAGTCACGTGAGTAAAAAAAAAATTAAAAGCATCAAAAAGTAAAGGGCAGCTATTTGATTGAGACTGTGAAGGCAAATCCATTGAATTTGAGGCTGGTGGGCTAGAGAAATGGAGGAGGACAAAGGTTGACATGGAAATAAAAGTTACTCATAATTACCCCAGACCTGAATTGATCAATCTGTCTCTCTGAAGCTCACAATAGCTATTAAGTAATGATTTGACATTGTAAGGCCTGTGGCTAAAGACACCAAGTTTAAAAAGAAAACAGTGTACTTTCTTCTTCATAGCCAGGAGAGAGGGTAAGGCAGGACATGGGAACTGAGACTTAGGGAAATAAGCTGCTGAGAAAGGGTGAGTTCTTTGAAGAGACAAACCAATAAATACACCATGGCAGGAATCGGAAAACCTAGTGTCAGAAATTCTGACAGCGCAATCCATGGGGATTTTCACATGGACCCATGGATTTGAAGATTAGAGACAATTTATTGTTTTCCTTAAATTGGTGGTGTGGCTGCTAGCAACATAAAAAGCCATAATTCCACAAAATAGTATTTTAATGAGTGTAGACTGTTCTCTCCATAATATCAGAGGCATGGTGTGGTGGGGAAAAGAGTGAATTAGGAGTCAGGAAACCTGGGATCTAGGGTTGGAGATGCCCTGTAGAAACTCCTGCTTGCCCATTGCTTTGTCCCATCTGTCAAATACAGTTTGAATTAATTGTTCTTTAAGAAATATTCTAGCCCTAAATTTTAGTAACTTCAATAGATTGAACCACAACTAGTAATTAGGTTGCAGTTTTATTTAGTCAGATTATCTGTATGGAATCCAAATCTTACTAAACACTCTGAATTGATAATACCCAGAATAGGGATTTATTTGATAGAATGCAACCCTATGCCTTCCCACCACTTACGCATTTTGCCTTCTTGATTCTGTTGGTATCGCTTTAAACATGTTGTTTCCCCTCAGACTGTAGAGGAGATATGTTGTAGGCATCAAAATAAAATATGTAATTATTGAAACTCTTTAAGGGAAGCTTTGTGACTGCCATTTTACAGATAAAGAAACTGAGGATAAGGTAAATGGCCTAAGGTCACAGCGCTAATAAAATGGCAAAGCTGAGGTTTAGTTTCCAGAGTTGCTTCAAAGGCCATGTCCCTTTCCAGAGACCAAATGCTCCAGCTGAGTCCTTAGGAAATGGGCTCTGAGCCAGTTTTAAAATACTGTCTGCCTGAACTCTACCCCCAATCACACCCCCCATGACAGAGCACAGGCTAACAGGGCTCAAGAGACCTTGGTTATACCATGGGCAAAGTTGCCACCAACCTTAGGGATTTGGGAAAGGGTTGAGTCCCACACATTCCCTTCTGCTATTTTGAGATTTGAAATGCTATTCACACAACTCAATCACTTCTTCAGATGTGAATATAGTCTGTGCTTGGAAGTGCAATTTTTGTTCTCTTATTGGTAGCTTGCCTACTTGTCAATCAGTGTGCGCAGTAACCAGGAAGCACCTTATGAAGAAATTAGCAGACAGCTGGAATCTGACTCTACTTTGCTATATTTGGCCAAAACTAGGTTTGAAAAACATCTCAGAGTTAGGACAGGGTTCCCAGGTGCCTTGGGAAAACTTCCTGGCTGCCTTTCAGTGAATCCCAACTATTTCAATTCTCACATGGGGGAACAAGAGAGATGAAGAAGAAGAGGGTGTTTTTTTAGGAGCCAGAGCTTCACTTCTTTTAGGCAGAACCACAGCATGAAGTCCATGTGACCTCCAGTGAGGAAAAATTAATCTAAGAAATTGCATCACCTGTAAGTTGTTTTCATGAATTCTCTCCTTCCCCCTCTCAAAAAAAAAAAAAAAATACAATGAGGATACGTATGTTAACTCTTTAAAAAGAATATGGGGGAGATGTGTATCACCTTCTGGGAAAAATAGATTAAAAAAACCCTGATAATTGCCACTTTGATTTGCACCTCTGTGATAACTGCATTTAATCCTTTTCCTGCTGTTATAAGGGAAAAAGCAAAAATATACATACTTATTAAAGTAACATCTCCTCAATGTTAAAAAAATGACCGCATTTTCCCAAAAGAAAAAAAATGGCCTCAGTTCATTTAACAGAATACATTATTTACTCTAAGAGAAATTACAGCTTTAAGAATTCAAATCAGTAGCACCTACATGTGAGTAAACATTAGGCCAGTGTGTCCTGAGAGGAAGGCATGGTACCTGTTTTCATGTAAATGATTACAAACAGTCATTGTACTAGGAGCTTTAATACTGCTCAGGACTTACAGGATTGCACTCATGAGCAGTAAATCTGCTAACACAAAAGTCCTCCTCCTGGCTTGGAGTCCTAAATCCTATTCCGTGGTTCTCTCAACTGTAGGATGTAATGATCACCCAGCCCAAGGCTGCTGGGGAGCAGAACCAGATGGTCTTCACCTACAGAACTGGCATACCGACAGGAAGGTATCATAAGAACAGGGATTATTTTGTAATTAGGATCAGTCCTGGCATGAAAAAGTTGGGTTTTCAAAAGGTGCATTATGACTGAAAGGAATTATGGCTGATTTTCAAAAAAGACTTGGTTTTTGTTAAACTCGACGTTCTGAACCCTAAAGAAGGAGCTCTTCCTCCATCCCATCTGGCTAGAGTTGTCTTCACTGCATTTGCCAGGTCGAGGGATGGTTCTTGTGTAGGTTCCTGGGGCTCTTTGCACACTGACTACACTTTAGAAACTCATCACGCAGGCTGCCCAGGGCTTCCTACAGCTAAGGCATGGCTCTTCTAGGCAGGTTCCAGAAGACCTTTCACAGTCCTATGCCAGGAATCCTTAGGAAATGATGCATCAGTAGCATCTGTCCTGTGCAAGTTATCCCAGGCATCATTAGGGAGCAGGTCTGTGGTGACCAGGATAGCTTAATGCATAAAGACATAGATCGTTGCACATTCAGATTTTTCAAATTAATAAAACCACACATTATGCACACTGATCAGGGTTGTTTGTCTATCTATCGATCAATCATTTTCCTAATATGTTGGAATGCAACTCCATCCTTTCCCCTGCTTGTGCTTTATGCCTTCCTGCCTCTGTTCTCATGACTGTAAACATGCTACAGTTTCCGCTAAATAAGACTGTAGAAGAACATTGATTTCTTTGAACTGACCTGTCAACATCTTTTGGGAGGAAAATGGTGTGTATATTATTTTTTCTCTCCCATTCCTTGTATGTGTGTATACTGTGGTATGTACGTGTCATAACATTTTGACAATGAGGCTATCTTCAGGGGTAGTAAATTTCCCATTAATCAAGGCATTTAAGTATAAATAAGTTGGTGACTTGGCAGAGGCATTCCAGAAAGAAATTTCTTACCAGATGAATGTTCATTCACATGTCTCCATAGTCTATGGATACTTTAATATGTGGTAAGTATAACATTACAGTATGGAGGTTGTTGATTCAAGTGTAAACATGTAAAAATGCCAGTTTTCTAGGGTAGGCTTTCTCGTATGTTCTCGTCTCATCTATAATCCCATCTAGTTATAGATATTAACAAAATAAAGAGATCACAGGTGAGTATAAGTGAAAAATTGAGCACACAATTTCAGTAGAGATACAAGCAAGCTATACCATCATTATTTGTAAAGGCATGGAACACATTTAGATGAAAGTTCATGATTAACAACAGAATTTATGTGGTGCATATAAATCCATATTTAAAATAATTCTCTTATATTTGTGAAATTTTGATAATTAGGTTATGAGATCTCATCAGTTGATAAATATTTTTTGGTGTCAGCTCTGCTATTTTCTGCTTCATCCCCTTTCCCAGGCTCGCATTATCAGTATCATCTTAAAACCCCAGGCGTCTATTTGCAATGATTAAATCAGTGCCAACTACATAATGTTATCTGCAAATACCTTTAACTGGGCCCAGGTAAACTGCACTGTGTCCTAACATGCAGAACACAAACAAACGGATGGCATCGACGCAGCCACCCCGTGTAATGGAGCCCTGTCCTTACCTCTCTCCTGTGATGTGACACCCAGCAGGTGGCTTCACGGGCTGCAGCCACTACAGCCACCCAGGGCCCGTGTTCAGAAATGCCCCACCGTTGGCACAATGCTCTGTCATCACAGTCTTGAAATCGTTGATAACTGTATCTTTGAACTTGTGTTCTCTCTACTGATAATACGAGGGGATTTGCCTTTAAAAAAAAAAGAGTAAGAAGCAATAGTTTAGCAATTTTGAGAAGAGGTGAAATTATATGATTTGGAGAGAGGGGGTGGAGGGCACGGTGAACTGATGAGGACAATAGGGTAGGGCTGTCTGGCAATGTTGGAGCTTCACTGGCTTGGTGACCATAAATTTGTCATTGTCTGTACGATCTTCTCTAGTTATGTTCACCCACATAGCCTAGGTAGGAAGCAGCTGAAGAGTTAAACTTCAGGAGGGTTGAAAGCTGTAGAGGCAAACACAATGGAGGAGAGCAAGGAGCATGCAAAAGCACTTGAAATCCAAGCTGGGTGAGAAGGAAAATAATGACCTTGTGGGAGGAAAGTCACTAATGAACAGATGGATCGCAGGCCGATGAGTTTAAAGAAATGCTTTGACTGCCAAACTATAAGTTAGTTGGGAACACAAGAAATCCTGGTTAGCTAGGGGTGGGAGGCAGTTGAAATAAAGACTTTGGAGAAGGCACAGTTATTGGTAATTAAAAGCTGGGCGACGTGGAGATGTGAACATGGGAATGCATCGCTGAGATGCGAGATAAACGAAATGTGTGTGAAAAGGTTCAGACACAGAGCCCCGGGGGCTGAGGACTGCATTTTTCTGAGGTCTCAGCAGTGACAGCAGTCCAGGAGGAGAGAGGGGAAGCAAACTAAAATCTTACATGGGTGATGGTAACCAGGAGGAAGAGCAGGTGTTCTCACCTATGCCATGTGTTCAATTTGCTGGCTGGCTTGAGGGGAGAGTAACCATCACCCCGGTACCAGGTGCATATGGAGGGGGCACAAATCCCCTTCACACTAAAGAGAGAAAAGTGAGATTTCAAGATACAGTGAGTACGAGAAAGGAAAGAATGTTATCAAGCAATGAGGAGAGAGGAGAAAAGTAATTTTTAAAAATCATTTAAAATGTCTCATTACTTCCTGCAAAGATTAGGTCTGTCACAGTTCCAGTCAGAATCAGGAAATTACTGATTCATTAGGTTAGCTTTGTCGGCTGAGCTGGATTTGTCTCCACACTTTCTTCTGTGGATTCATATGTTTCAGGTTAAGATACCATGAGGATCATGAGCAACATGGGATCACTGGACACACAGTAGTTTCAACCTGGCCACACTATCAGAATCTTAATGTGGAAGAGTGGGATTCAGGTTCCAAGGACCCATGGGAGTGTGAGACAGCCTCAGCTATTGGGACACAAGACAGGGGTGCCAGCAGCCTGACTTCCACTGGGGCAGTGACTAAGTTTCAGGAGCTAATGGGATGGAGGAAATATGGGGACTCTCACAGAATGGATCTCATAGAGAACCACTTCATAACACAACCATACCCACTACACACAAGAATTCAATCTTTCTATAATTTATAATGGCATTTATTTATATCCCAAGGCTGTGTTAGCATGCATATGTTTCACTGCATCAGTCTTTAGGACTAATATTCAAACTGAAACATTAGGCAAGAATCCACATCTTCTGCTAAGATAACTGCAAAGAATGCATCTGCCCAGCTGTTCTGGGTCACTGGCCACATTGCTGTGATCCTCTATATTTTCTGGCTAAAGGATTTGCTCATCTACAACAGATTCCCACTTTTGTGATATGGCATAAAAGCAGAGCCCAGGATCATTAAAATGCTGAAATGTTGCAGGTTTGGTATATTATTTTTAACTAGCTTCTCTAATAAAATCTCATAATTAATCTGGGTGCTTAGGGAATAGGATGCTTTAAGCTTTTAAAAGTTATTGACTGTTCATCGGAAATGCTTTCCTTCTCTCCCTCAACCTCTTTACTAGCTGAAACTGGCCATAATTCTGGGTGTTATTTTCATTGAAGAATCATAGGTCTAGCTCTAGAAAGAACCTTGGAAATGATGACATTGGATGAGTGACTTATCAAAATCATGCAGTTAGTTAGGGGCAGAACCAGATTTAAAAATATAAACTAGTGAAATAGGAGCCCAAGAATATCCTCTAGATTAGTTTTCTTCACTCAGTCTCTGATAATAGAATAAATGACTTTTTACTGAAAATACAGAAATATATTTCAGATTATTTGGGGTCTCTGATTGTTGACAGAATATAATTTTCCTTCAGTGGATATTTGAAGATATTTTTCTGTTCATATTATTATTCTTAATTTTAGCCAGTGTCACTAGTCAAAAAAAAAAAGGCAAAGAAATGTTAATTTGCAGCAAGCAGAAAACCAAGGTTGCTTTGAGTTATACATGGACTTTTTGGTGTTATTATCAATTTAAATAAAAGTTCTACAGCTCCCTTTAGATGACTTTTGCAAGGTCATTGCTTTTGGATGAGTCATCACACTGCTCCTGGAAAATGACTTTAGGAATAAGTCATACGGAGATTTGAAAGAGCCTTGTTTCTCACTATGACAGTTATGCAAGTGGAAAGAATAGCCTTGAATCCAAAGAAAGGAATAGCTTGAACCAGGACATTTCAGTAACTATACAGACTACTTATTTCCAGAAAATGAACCTGTTTATCTCTATTAACTACAGAGTTGTGTATTGATACTATTTATTTGATTCCTGGGAAAGAGATTTGCCAAAATAATCTTAATTAATATGAATATGCCCATAGATACCAGCATCTCGGCTGTTTGGCCAATTGCATCCCTAATGAGGCAGATGTCAAATTTAGACACAAATCCCTATAGCACTTGGCTTTGGAAGCATGAGTTTTTTTATTCAGGACTAAAAGTCCATTTCAGACCATAGGTATGCATGGGTAATAGATGTGTCTCTTGATAATTTGATAGTTTATTTGGGAATATTCAGTATTAAAATTCATACATGTCATATTTTCATTGTTGCACTCATTATTTCTGGGCCACTGAAAAGAACTGGATGCTTTAATAAGAAGGACAAAGAGAACAGCTTTATTTTCATCAAAGCAGGTATTAAGATTTTTAAAAATGCTGCTTCTCCTTAAACTTCTTCTTCATTAATTTCTTAAACAATGACCCAAAATGAAATTTCAAGAGTTTTTCTTCTGCATTTGATATGTAAGTGAAAGAGTCATATCCCATTGTCACTGTGTACTAAGTTTCCACTAGGTTAGAATAAGTAGTACTTGTAAGATACTCTCATATTTATCATGAGCCTATGAACCATACATCTTATTAGTTGATAAGACTATGAGGTAGCTAAAGCAGGGTCTTCTCACCACCATTTCACTGTTGAAGAAATGAAAGCTCCAGAGTCATATGATTTGCTCTATGTGCCATAACTAGTTTGTGTTCCTTCAGAATTAAGCTTTATAAAATTTAGACAGCTCACTGATGTATGAGAATATTCAGACCTACATCTATAGAGCTCTATTTCTACAAATAAACAAAGCTCATGCTTCTCTATATCTTTATTTTTAGCTTCATAATTTTGTCATCCTCTTGGGCACTAGTCTTAAGAGCTCTTGAATACTCCTTAATTCTGAAGAACATCACTTTACACTTCCCAGGGAAGACCTCACATTTCAATGCTATTAACCCTTTGCTCCGGGATTAGAGAGTATCACAGTAACAGGTTTAACAGAGAGCTTCCAATGAGATAATCAGTTTACAAGGGCCTGAGAAAAATCAAGATCATACCAAGGACCAGGACTGGCCATGACCACAGCAGTGTCCTTGTCCTGGACAGAAGATTAATCTATGATCTATTCACAAGCTCCTTGAAATCCCTTCAGAGCTCAAGCCTATTATTAACATAGGCCCTTGCAAGGCTGTTGCCAGAAAAGACCTTGAGAATCAACCAGTCTAACATGTTCATTTTATAAACAAAGAACTCTGAGACAGGTCTTGATGGGTGAGAGAAGTGAGTCAGCATCTCACAGTGAGTTCAATTCAAGCTGAGGCTGATTCAAAGGCCCTGACTTCCAGACCCGTGATTAAGTGCTTTCATATTAATTTATAAACAACTTTGGGCTAGAAACCCATAGCAATTTTGAGGTAAGAATATCAATCATTATTTTATAGATGAGGAAACAGAAGCATGGGAGTTAAAGGATTTACTGGAGGCCAGGAAATGGTAGAGATGAGCTAGGATATGTGTTCTTTCCACACAGCACAATCCATCCCACCAATTTGTAGCTATTGGCTTAATCACTAAGTCACCTGAAAAAGTCCTTTTATCAGGATCTTGATTGTGATCACAATCATTATCATTCATTCACAATCATTCATTCAACAAATATTTATTATTGACCAGCTATATGCCAGGTATAGATATTGATAAGATACTCTTAAAAAAAAAAGAAGCTAAGTTTAAATACAGTTAAGTCTCATTCTTTACTGTGGTTATGTTCTATAAAATCTCCACAAGGCACTGGATTAGCAAATACTGAATCATGGCACCATAGAGGAAATACAGGGTGAGGTTCCTGCGAGTCTCTGCTCACATTTTCATCAATCGATGCGTAGCCTTGTTTATGTGTGTCTGTTTAAAGACACCTTATTAACATACATATTGTTGATTCATTTTCATTGAACTCAGCCAGGAGCATCATAACTTACCTGAATGAAGCTTGTCTAACACATGTATTTTCTCTCTAAGGCACATCCCAGCCTTCTTGCACTTGTGAACCCTCGACAGCACTTTAACACCATACTCATGTACCATTTTAGACAGGAAAACTATCAACAAAGAGAACACAAATTCAAAAAGCATAGTCCTAAATAGGTCCTGAAAAAGACACTTGCATATAGCCTGAGAACTGAAGTAGGAGGGCATCACCTTGGTTGACCTCAGCTGGGAACACATGCATCACGTGGCACAACTTTTTCACCACTCTGTCCATGTGCACCTCTATGAATGACTACTGAAGCACCTGGAGTACTGGCTTGGTGGTCCCAAATAAACAGAGTAAGTAGGCAAATTCACAAATGTGGAATCCATGAATAATGAGGTACAGATGTAATTAAATCATTTACTTGATTTACTATATTTATTAAATCAAATAATTTCAAATTCTAAACAAAACAAAATAAATTTAAAATAAAAACTCATTAAATATTTAGTAGTTTAAAAGAAAATTAAATCAGATTCCTGTCCTTACAGAGCCTGCAATCTAGAACCACAGGTAAACAGTAGACAAATAAACAAAGTACATTATTTTCAAATATGACTTCAATGAAGGAAAAGAATAAGGCAGGAGGGACAGTAGTATGATGGGGCTCTTTTTTTCTGGGTGGCCAGCATTAACTGAAATTTTGAGTCTAAACTGAGCACAGGAAGTTAGCAATAAGCATGACAACTCGGGAAAATTCTGGAGAATCTACTCTCACTGTTACCTCTCTTCCTTTTTACCTTGAGAGAGGAAGAAAGCACTCATAGCTCCTCCTAAAGAAGAACTTCTGCCAGAGAAATATATATATATATATATATATATATATATATATATATATATATATAGAGAGAGAGAGAGAGAGAGAGAGAGAGATGATATAGATATGTATAGATATAGAGATGTGCATACATGGATATAGATAACAGATCCAGATATAGTATAGACATAGGTATATCTATCTATATACACACACATAAAGGACCCTGAAATGAACTCACCCTCTCTCCCTACTCTTTAAACATCACTATTATAAATGAGGACTCAGGCCAATCACTCTGCAGTATAGGAGGGGATAGAACAATATGAAATTCTTTTTTTCAACTCTCAGTTAAGAGGTACTGACCCAGATTTTTGTATAAAGTGAAAGCAGTAATAAAGAAGTAAAATCAGTTCAAGGGTTTTCTAGGAAACATATCATATCCTTATCACAGAAGCAGATTAACACATTTTAGAGTTGGAATGGGCTTAAGAAATATTTTAATCTAATCACTTCATCTTATAGAGACAGGAACTGAAGCACATTTGCTCAAGGTTATAATTACTTGTAGGATCTGGGTAAAAGAGATTAATTTTAGATGACAAATTTACTTGGAAGGAGATATATATATTTATATGTCCAAGGCTTAATAAATTTTTAGTATTTGATAAAAGTTGAATTGTTAAAATATATGAATGGTATTTTTAAATGTCAACTGAATGCATTTAAAGAATTTTTTTAAATGTCTAAATGCCAATTCATTCCTTGCTAATAGGTAATCTAGTACTTTCTATCTATACATCAGGCACTGATGAGGCAGCTCTAATTCAAGCAAAGATCCCTTTACTAACTTGAATGTTATAGGCCATAAAACTTAGAATTGTGCCAAAGCATTTTCAAAATCAACTTTAAGCAGGGAACTAAAAATATTCAGTAAGGTTTTTAAAATTTAATCTAAAAAGTCCTCTGTATTAGCTTTTACCTTTTGTGAAGATATCTATATTCTCTATGGAATGATTATAGATCAAAACTGTTCAAGCCAAGATATAAAGACCTTAAAATGCTTTAGGGCTGACATTAAATAAATAATTAACCCCTAATAAGCAAATAAAAAGAAAAACTGGGAAAACATTTGCCACATAACTCAAATAATTAGCAATTCTAATATAAAAGTAACTTCTAGATATGGGAAAGAAGATACTTACCTCCATAGACAAATGTGCTATATAAAGGAATAGATAGCTCAGGAAAGAAAGATGAAAGAAAGAAAGAAAAGAAAGAAGAAAGAAAGAAAGAAAGAAAGAAAGAAAAGAAAAAGACAAATGCCTGTTAACCATATGAGAATATGGTCGATCTTACTAATAAGAAACAATTAAAATTAAAACTACATGAGGAACCACTTTTGCTATCAGATTGGCAAAATTTAAAGTGTGGGGAAATAGAAACTTTTGAAAATCACTACCATCGATGCAAAATGAAAAAAGCCCTGTGGAAGGAAATTTGACACTGTCTTCCAAAACTACATCTGCATTTACCCTTTGACCAACAATCTCATTTTTTTATATAAATTTATTTTTTATTGATGTTCAATTTGCCAACATATAGAATAACACCCAGTGCTCATCCCATCAAGTGCCCCCCTCAGTGCCCGTCACCCCATCACCCCCACCCCCACAATCTCATTTTTAAGAATCCTTCCAACATATGGCAAAAATAAAAAGTGATCTATTTACAAAGCTTTTCATGGTAGCCTTGTTTGTAGTAGCAAAAGACCGGCCATTACCCAAAGGGCTGTCAGTGGGTGTCTTCATTTCCTAGAGTTGCCTCAACGAATTACCACAAAGTAGGTGGCTTACAACAACAGAAACTTACCATGTCACATTTCTGAAGGCCAGAAGTCTAAAATCAAGATGTTAATAGGGCCATGCTCATTTTGAGACTGGGAGAAAGGAATCCCTTCCCTGCCTCTTCTAGCTTCTGGTGTTTGCCAACAATACTTGATGTTTTTTGGCTTATAGACACATCAATCCAGTCTCTGCTTCCATTGTCATGTGGCCATCTTCTCCCTGTGTGTCTCTCTTCTCTTTTTATAAGATTAGCCATATTGGACTAGGGTCCACACAATATATGAATATAACTTCATCTTAACTTGACTATATCAGCAAAGACTGTAATTCTAAATAAGGTCACATTCAAAGGTACCAGAGGTTAGGATTGAACACATATTTTTTTGTAAGGACACAATTCAACTCCACATTAGTGGATAGATTGAATAATCTATGGTGTATCAACACAATGGAAATCTATACACCTATCATAGGAATAATTAATATATCTATATGCTACTATAGAATATTCTCTAGAATATATTATTAAGTTAAAGAAAAAGCAAAATGAAGTAAAGTATGGATAATATGTTACTATTTAACTCTGCCAGGATTGCTTATGTGTTTATTTTAAATTATGAAATAATAATAATAATAATAATGGTAATAATAATAATGGAGTTACCTAAATAGAGAATAATACAGGTGGAGCAGAAATACAAGTGAAACCTCCACAGATATCAGTTGTTTTGTGCATCTGATTTCAGAATCATGTAAATATTTTATGTGATTACAAAATAATATTAAAATTTCAAAAGCAAACTCTAACCATCAAAAGCAAAGTGAAGTAAAATGAATCTGTGTTTCCAGTTGGTGGAACTGATAGAGGAACTATTCCAAATGACTCTAAAATGCAGTATTTTGAAAGTCCATCCCTTAGCACAAAGGGGAACTGTAAGAAAAAACAAAACAAAAAACAAAAAAACAAAACATAAACCTGAAACCACTTATGAGCAATCATATTGTTGGTGGCAGTAATCAGCCTGTTATGTGTATCATATAGATAATGAAGGAAGAAATCCAGTGATTATGTTGGTGTTAATGAAAACCAGGATTTTGGCCTAGGAGAAAGGTAATACATAATGAAATTAAGGTTAAATAAAAATTCCACGGTTAACAATTTCAGTTGGATACAGTGTGATGATGGTATTGTGATTATACTTCAACAAAGGGGTCTTGCCTTTTAGAGACAAACACTGAAATATTTACAGATGAAATAATAGCTTATCTGGGATTTGTTTCAAAATAGGAAGGGAAAAGGGGAAATGAATGGGTCTCTAAAAGAAACAAATTTTGACTATGAGTAGATAATTGTTTTTTTTTTTTTTGAATCGATAATTGTTGAACAAGGTTGTGGGTACATGGAGAATTCATTATACCATTGTCTCCACTTTTGTATATGTTTGAAATTTTTCACAGTATATTTTTCTATCTATACCATATTCATTACATACATATATAAGTGTATGTGCTATAAATATGAATAGGCATATATTGATTCATGTTCTAAATATTTTTACATTCAGACATATGCCTAAGTACATATACTTAGTAAGAACCATAAAAATGTATAAATTTCTCTAAATTTTATGTATTTAAGTAATCTCGACACCCAACGTGGGGCTCAAACTCACGGCCCTAAGATCAAGAGTCCAAGAGTCCTATGTTACACTGACTGAGCCAGTCAGGTGCCCCCAAAATATATTTCATTGACCTAAGTGCCCTATCACTTAACTTCTTGGCATTGAATATGCATTGCCCTGTGAGCAATCACCATGGTGGCCTCTCAGCAACAATGTCTACCACAGTCACCAAATTAAATACACCCACCTTCCCCTTGGGACATTTACCTACCTATATGGAAACTCCCTCAGAAAACAATAGAAATTCTAGTAATTCCCCTTCTTTTTAATTTCTCAGACTCAACCACTCCAGAGTTTCTGATTCCCAGCATGATGTACATGTAGCAATCACAGTGGTGTATGGATCGTGGGCACTCTCCTGCTGAATTTCTGCAATAGGGTTGAAATATGTCACCACTGACACCTGTTTCTTTTCTAAGCAGCACCAGATGCCTTGTAGGTTTGATCTAATTAAAATTTGTATATTTTTTTTACTCTGATCGTCTGTTCACCATATTAATTTGCTCATCAGTAGTAAGGTTCAATGACCCTAAAGTCTGATGATGAATCAGATGAATCAGATAAATCACACCTCTTCCCCTAGGAAGGAATGAGTAAGGATTTGGAGAAGGAAGTTCAGTGTTGGGGGGTTTACTGTAGTGAAAGCGTGTCCACGGAAAACTTGAGGCCAGAAGAATAGAGGCCCCACTCTTATACTTCTGTAAACCCTCTCACTTATACTTTTCAGGGGCCACACTTCAGCTACTAGTGAGTCTCCTCTTTCTCATCTCCAAGTTATACTCATATTTTGTTTTAAATGTATGGATATGCATGAATGTTTATACACATTTATTCATGTCATGGTCCAGGTATTGATTACACTTAGTGGAATGAATATATTTGTTTACCTTAACCTATTTATAGAGACATTTCCTTGGTTGTTCTCTATCTTCCATAGTATTCTCCATTCACGTTCATGGTTGCATTCTAGGTTTCTTCCTTGAGTGCTTCAGAATGAGGCTCTTGGAATAAAAGATAAAGCTTCAATCATTATGGCTGCCTTCCTCCAAGCTCTTTAACTTTTCTCTTTCCAAGAGTGTTGATACTAAGAACATCTTTTTCTGGTGAGTCTGAGATGCTATATTACCCTCACCAGGGAACTATCTGGACCAGAGCTAAGAAGGCCAACGGAACGTGCTAGAAACCAAAAGTAGGTTGTTTGTGTCTCAAGCAATTTATTAGGATTTAAATTTAAAACAAACGTTTTGATTTTGCACACATTTTGAGCAATTGACATTCTTTGGGATAAGAATTCTAAAATCTTGGATCAATTTACTGTTGACACTGATTTGAGCTTATTTATCCCATGTCCAATTGTGCGAAAAAAAGACTTGGCCAAGAAGGCCTAAAAAGCCACCTGCAGTCATGGCATTCCCAGGTCTAAAATCAAATGGTGAATACCAAGTGGTAAGTTGATCATATTTCCTCTGATAGCAGAAACCCCATGTGGCTCTTTTCCATCTGTCTATGCTATGATTATTAAATGCATTAACTGCTTCCCCTAAAGTATTTCTGCTCAAAACTCAATATACTTACCAAATGCCTTGGGGTCTGACTTTCCCTCTCTTGAAACTTTCTAAGAATTCTCAGAAAGGAAAGAATTTCAGAGTATCTTTGGACAAGGCTTCACCTTGGGTGGGGCTGTGACCAGCAGGGAGGATGTGTCATTGGTAACCCAAGGTGATCTGACTGTTAGTTACACCATCTGGCCATTTGGAGTGCCAATATGTAACGAGAGTAACTTCAGGCACAGTTCAAATATCCTGTGCATTCCTGCAGAAAGACAAGTAGTGCTCTAGCTTCAGGCGTTGTGGTCCTGACATCAGTGGCAGGGAAAGACCACGGAATGGGATGATTCCTCTGTTCTCCTTATCTGCAAATGGAGTCACAATTATTGCTTTCCTCTAGTACAAAATAGAAGCTGAGTTTCAAAACAGAGGAGGGTGGGTCACTCTGAGAAAATTTAACATAGTCACAAAAGCTAGTAATGCAAGAGGGTGTTTCTGAATGGAAACTGTGGTAAGCCACTGTTTTATTTTTATGCACAGTAGTCATTTTTCTTCTAAGTATGCAGTATACACTGGCTTACCTATTCCAGAGAAGTGGAGCCAGTGTCCTGATTGGTGGTTACAATCAGAATTCTTTATTTGTTTTTTCTATATGGAAGTTGTCACTTAATCCATAGAGAAAAAAACTAGAGCTACTCATAAAAGACATTCCAAAGGAGAGACATGTGAGGGACTTCCCTTTGCAAATCTAACTATTAAAAACATGTGATAAAGTTAGACTTACCTTCAAATTTGTGGAATATTTAGGTGGGAGACAGGGCTTTTTGTATGCTTCAGATCTACAATACTTACAGTTCGTTTTGATTTGATTTTGGAGTTGCAGTTCCCTTTTGTCCAAGATCATACACACACCCAACAGTCCAATCCTACCCAAATTTGTTCATTTATTTCATTTATTTGACTGGTCTGGCAATTCACATGGTTTTACTTAGGCCTGGGTCGTCTATGTGTCAATATTGAGGACAATTAGTAATTTAGTGACAGATTTCAATTCAAGTTGTATGTATGTCCTGGCTATATGACCTTGGGCATATTCTATTATATATATATATATATATATATATATATATATATATATATATATATATATAATCTCAGTTTCTTTATCTGTGACATATGGAGAATAAAATACCACAAAGATGATAAAAAGATTTCATGAGAGGACACAAGTATAATGCCCTTAACATGAAGGATAAGCATGAAGTTAGTATTAACTGTTGTTAGACTTAGATATGCTGAGTCTGCGCTATCAGAAAACTTATAATTCTTTCACTTTTGAACATGACCCTGAGCTCCCATTATTTCTCATTAAAAGCTGGGAGAAAGAAATAAAACCTATATGAAGCTGAATGGTTATTAGGTACATATAACTATACTTTCTATTAGATCTAAGGCATAGCCTAGGTAAATACGCTTACAGTATTACATGTGGCAAAAGAGAAATGTGTAAGCCAAGACTTGATGACTCTGGCTGATATGTAGCTGCAAATTTTAGGACTTAATTCAAGAGAATATTACTGCAGTTTCGACATGTGGATGCTTAGAAAATATAAAATTGACAAGATTTTATATCTATGTTATGTTTGAACCCAGGATTATTCTAGAAAAAAATGTCTTTCATTTATCCAAATTCATTTTCACACACACAAAAAAAAAAACAAATTCATTTTCACTCTTCCCTTCACAGTTGACAAAACTAGGTACTGGCTGTTTTTATAAGTATGTGGTTTGTGCTCTCATTACAAATGGAGTCATCCTAATAAGTCATTAGCAACGTGTGTAGCTCCCGGTACTGTAAAAACATTAAGATTTTGGTTAGAGTGAGAGATAATCCATAATTTAAGTGGGTATTAATTATGAAATTTGAGGCACTTAACTACAGTACCATAGACAAGCAGCTAGATATTTCAACTATTAGAAAATGATCCATTTTCTATTTGAGTAACCATCTTTACGGTGGGGGAGGGTGGGGAGGATATTAGCTTAGGATATTTTGCCAGCTGTCTGGAAATGAAACTAAAGCAATAGAAAAGGTATTACTCAAGATAACAGATAAGGGAAAAATAAAACAGAGGAGCTCTCAAGTATGATTTTGTGTGAACTTGAGTCTCTTAAAAGTCACTTTCTGAGGCGCCTGGGTGGTTCAGTGGTTGAGCGTCTGCCTTTGGCTCAGGGCATGATCTCAGGGTCCTGGGATCGAGTCCTGCATCAGGCTCCCCACAGGGAGCCTGCTTCTCCCTCTGCCTATGTCTCTTCCTCTCTCTGTGTGTCTCATGAATAAATAAAGAAATCTTTTTTAAAAAGGGGGAAAGTCACTTTCCACATGAATATTCTATAATTCTGAGATTATTAACTCTTGATAGGGAAGGAGTGAATTTAATAAAATCACCGGATTTCATGACTGACCCTCATGAGTAATCCCTCCTGTTAGAGTTAATGACACACATCACTTCAGGCTTGAAACCGTAGTATTACTTTGACCCACCATTCCCATTACCCACTGGAGACTAAGCCACTACTAGTCAGCTTCTACAGGGCTCATTGCCATTCTATCCTTCCCAGGTTTGCAGTCAAGCCCTAGGGCAAGCTTTCATTGCCTCTAACCTAGTCCTTTCAAACAGCCTAACTGCTATTTATAATTCCTACCTTATCACTTATAAACTCTCCTACACATTGCTACTAGGTTAATATTCCTGCAAAATAGCTTCAATCCTGCCATGCATTTGACCCAAATTTTGACGGTTTGGCAATGTCCAAACTCCAGAGCCCAGCAAACTTGGCCATCTCCAGTATGGCCGCAGTCTTTGACAATTCCCTTTATATGCTTTCTACACATCTTCATTTCTGGCACATCACAGTTACTTCACAGCCGAAGAACACACGCTATACTGTCTTATGTCTGAACCTTCTCCTGCTTTTGGTCTCCTTCAGGTAGCAACTGATGCCCTTAAAAGCCTTTCTGATTTACTTTCTGAAAACCTTTCTTACTCCTTCCCCATCATCCTAACAGGTAGCATTAACCAACATAAACATCATTCTTGCTTAGATCATCTGCTGCTTAGAAACATTCTGAGCATTTGTCCAGGTAACTATTCTGACTGATTTTGATTGGGCATGCATGATAAAATATTTGCCTTTTATCCCTTATATTTTAGTGGAAGTTTGAACTAAAGTAGGTGGTAAACACGGAATCAATTTTGTTGGATTTGGGGAGAAGAGAGGAGAGAAATTAAGACCAAAAAAGTCAAAGACATTTCTCCACCTGGCACCTACCCGGACCTGGTCTGAATCTAGCTGCAAGAATCTATGGAGGGGGCATAATCAAATCTACCACGTAAATCTGTTGTAGAGCAAGAAAGACAAACTATGGCCTCCCTGGTTGATTAGAGAGAAGAAAATGAAAAGCTGATCTGGACTGTCTTAGGATTGGTGCACAGCTTGCTTTGATACTGCACTACAGTCTGGGAAGGAACACTATCGTTGAATCCAGAGTCCGAGACTCCCATCCTGGCTGTGCAACGGAGTCACTGTGGGACCTCCAGCGTATCTTCTCTCTGCACTTGAGCTTCTTATGAAACAAATGAACCAGCCCTCTCAGGGCCCCTATCACCTTGATTAATTATAGTATGATTTATGAGTTCTATAAAAACTGTATCTCCTTTTTATGTAAACACTTTGAATATTGGGTCAGACCAAAAGAATGTTTACAGATACATGTATTAAAATATCTTACAGGCATTTCCCCTTGATCTCTCTGTTGTGACATTGAGTTTAGGGAATTATAAAATGCCTGAATGATTTTGGAAGTGAGGGGAGAATTGACATTTCTTCTCAGGCCATCCCTTCCTTCTTTCCTGCTCCATCTGGAATCTTTCTCCCATCCTTAGTCGTGAAGGATACAACCCTCGTAAACACCAACATATATGACAAGGAAAGCATTTCTGAGCTTGCTATTTTCCCTGCCTCTTTAGTTCATTCACAGCTCCTGTGGTCTCTAAGATCCAACACTGCTCACCTCCAATATTCACTAGATATTTCAGCAAATGTAAGAGAACTGAAAAAAGCAGATTTTTCTCTAGCACAGAATGTGTACCTTAAAGCCAATGGGACAAATAATCTCTTTCAGTCAAAGAAAGCTTAAAACACTAGATTCCCATCAAACTCCTATTACCTACTCTGTTTCCCTTTTGTTCTCAATAGTCTCATAATTGGTATAAGATGAAAACAACGCAACTCTTAGGACTGAAACCACTGACTCAAGAGCAAAGATCACTTGGTAGCTTTCTAACCTGAACTTAGAACAGTTCTAAGGTTCTGTCACTTAGAACCAAAGTGACACCCTCACCACAGGAGCAATGTACATTCTTGATGTCCTTAACAAGACCTCACATCCCCTGAGTTCTCAGAATGCAGTTAACACACTCTCCAGTAATTGCTATACCTATCTCATTTGCTGTCAGGTAATGCAGAGTGTCCGTCAGTTTAATTGAGCAGGCTCAGGAACAACTTTATTTCCTCTAAGCCTCTAAAATGTTAAAAGGAAAAAAGAATAAAATATCTATCTGTAGACATCCTAATTATCAAGTGATCCCTAAACTACTGATAAGAGATTGCTTCCAGGCTTCAATATTTGTACTTTTGAACAGATTAGAATCTCTTTTCTTTTCTTTTTTTTTTTTTTTTAGAATCTCTTTTCTAAAGACTTTGTTGGCTCTACCTGTAGGTATGTTGTGACTCACCTACGGAAGATTTGTGCTCTGTTTAGGAGAAAACACAGTCAAGCTCCTTAATTTGCTCACCGAAGAACACCACTGCCTGTCTCACTGTTGAGAGCACACTAGTTTCCTTACAATTAACAAGAAAACTCAAAATAGCTGCCCTTCAGTCATTCTCCAGAGAGCTCCTGTCAAAAGTGAATCTCAGATTAATGATATTCAAGAGACATCATTAAAGTCAAGTTTTCTCCTTCTAGTGAGTTCTAATAAGCAATGCACTTGGACTACATTAGCTTAATTCCCTTCCCAACTGCCTCTGGTGCCAACAGACCAGATGTCTCCTCCCAAGGCTGCTCCCACTGTGTGGGAGACCACCGCCACATTAGGCACCACTGACACTTTTGGCAGAAACTATAGTCTTGTTCTAGGTGACACCAGCTCCTACTGGCTATCGCTGCAGATGCCACCATTGACAAAGCCGATATTCTAAAAGTATAACACCAAATGGGCACTCTGTTTTGGAATCTATGAAGTGCCAAAAAGTTAGGTCACCATGAAAATGATATTCTGTTGGTTATCTCCCACAAATTTGCCAGCCATGCTCAGACATTTTTCAAACTTAGCAGTGGATTCTATGTGGGTACAAACATCCTACAACAATATTTTAAATGGAAACTACCTCAATTCATATTTAGAAGCAGGAGAAGCATGTTATAAGTCCAAATGTCCACAGTTTTTTCATTTATAGGAGAAATGCAGAAGAGACTGCTTGGGGTCAAAATAAACAGTCTTATGTGGTAGTATGTGACAGTATCCAAGTATAATTTACAGGCAGTAAAAGAAATGACTCTCCTCTAGATATAAAATTTACACAAGTAGAAAAATGTTTAGTTCAGTAATAAGGAAACCAGTGAGATGGGAAAGCTTGTTCCAAAAGCACTTGAAGAGCTCGAGTTTTCAAGCATTAAGAAAGAAAGGAAGGGAGGAAAGAAAGAAAAGAGAGGAGAAGGGAAGAAGGAAGGAAGAGAAAGAAAAAAAAAGTTAATAAAAAAAAACATTTAATGTCTTATAAGGCAAAGATACCATAAATTTTGAGGTGATCTTTCCTCCTGAACATAAATATACAATTTAACATGTTTCAAAAAAAAGAAAAGGATTCAAAAAAAAGAAAAGGAACAAACAAAACAATTGAACCTATTTATAGGCAAATGAAATAGTAAATAACAAGATAAACACAAGCATATGCTCCTAGAGAGTTAAATAATCAAAAGGTAAG